AGAGAATAACAAATAAATTAAGGTTTTCCAAAAATTATTGTAGTTGTTATGAAAAAGGTTATATTACTCTGTTAAAAATGCACTAATTGTTAATTTAAATGTCATTTTCAGATTCCTCACAAAATTTTAAATAGATATAACACATAATCGTTGGGGCACGGAAAAATATCCTACTTAAATTTCTTCGTTAAACAATTATTTTTTAAATCGACGAAAATTTAAATAACATTCAGCAATTTATTTCTCGGTTACCGAGTTCCGCTGAGTTTAACAAATATTACTAAAAACTTCCTTATTTAAAGGGCTTTACAATGGTGTAATATAGTTTTTACCAAGTTTCAAATTTCCTAATGTAATTCAATCATTGTTTTGAAAAAACATGGTAGGGCAAAGAAAAGCTATTGTGAAGAATAATACATTTAAGTGCAGGCAACGAATAATTTGTATTTTTTTCTCGCATGCAACGCTTTTTTGTAACTATTAAGCTAAGAAAAGAAACATATAGTTTTAAAATGTGTTTGTGATAAAGTTACGGTTATCGTACATTTTTCATATTTCAGATAAGATCTCAATTAACTCGCGGAAGTTCGGTTGTGACCAAAACTACCCGACATGGATTGGACGTGGTCGACGTGGAGGAAGTGTGACATGGCCTCCTCGATCTCCAGACTTGAGCCCGTGTTAGATTTACATGAAAGGTCTAGTTTACTATACTGTTGTAAGCTCTGAAGTTGAGTTACGGGAGAGAATCTTTGAGGCTGCTGGGAAAGTAAGGGAAAAATTGATGTATGAGGTCACAGTTGGCGCAATTCACAAGCGAGCTAGGGCCTGCTTGTGGGAAAACGGAGGGCACTTTACACCCAAACTGTGATTCCACCTTAATAAAAGTTGTGCTTCGGACGAAGTATGTCATTGATTTGATTTGTATTGTGTGTTTTTACTAATGTATTGTGTTTTTTTAATAACAAATTTTCCAAAGTCTAAACAAAAACTCTTTAGTTTGGTGAAAGTGTAGTCTGGTCAATCATAAATTACACAAACCCTTATCATCACTGGTCAGTTCATTAAATAGTAAGTAAAATTCATTATTTTTTACAATATCTGTTTTGGTTTAGCCGTGATTTTTCACAATAGTGCGTAAAGTTCCCCATAGATTTGACAGTAGATAAATGTAGTTATACATCATTGTAAGACCCTTTGAATAAGGAAGTTTTTAGTAATATTTGTTTAACTCAGCGGAACTCGGTAACCGAGAAATAAATTGCTGAATGTTATTTAAATTTTCGTCGACATTAAAAATAATTGTTTAACGAAGAAATGTAAATAGAATAATTTTCCGTACCCCAAAGATTATGTGTTATATATATTTAAAATTTTGTGAGGATTCTGAAAATGACATTTAAATTAACAATTAGTGCATTTTTAACAGAGTAATATAACCTTTTTCATAACAACTACAATAATTTTTGGAAAACCTTAATTTATTTGTTATTCTCTAACGGTTGAGGTTGGGAACCTCAAATGTGCGTCATTATGTCGCCATTACCATGTAGTTTGATGCAAAATGTTATTTAACACTTATGACCGGACACCCTGTATAAGGTATTTGAAAAGATAATACTACTAAGACTATTAGCATTTTTTACAAAAAATAATATTATTTCAGAGAAGCAATTTGGGTTCACAAAAAAGAAAACCACCACAGATGCAATGACTGACCTTATCTCAAATTTAGTAAATTCATTGGATGCAGGGGAACATACAATATGGGCTTTTTTTCGATCTGAGCAAAGCCTTTGATATGGTGGATCACGTATTGCTTCTTGATAAGCTTTCTTGTCTTGGAGTGCGAGGGCTGGCACTGCAATGGTTTAAGTCATTCATTACAGGACGGAAGCAGTTTGTGATGATTCAGGCGGTGGATGACTTAGGATATCTGAATACCTACCGCTCACCCCATTGCGAGTCTGCTCGTGGCGTGCCTCAGGGGTCAGTCCTCGGTCCGGTGTTGTTCCTTGTCTTTGTGCATGATCTTCCATCAATTGTAAATTCTGGAAACATTTGTCTGTTTGCTGATGATACATCGCTCTCGGTTTCTGATCAAAATTTCGATGAACTCAAAATAAAGGCCTTTTTGCAAGCGAGCTCCATGATGCAGTGGTTCGAGGACAACTCATTGAGTCTAAATGCCAGAAAAACTGAATTTGAAAATTTGTCTATAAGTTCAGCTGGGAAAAACAAAAACAATTTCCTTTTGAATGATGTTGAGCTCGATGCAACTGATCAGGTTAAGTTCTTGGGATTGGTGCTCGATAGAAACCTGCGCTTTCATTCCCATATTGACACTGTGTGTAGAAGGATTTCTTCGGGAATCTTTCTTCTCCGCCAACTTTCTAAGTTTGCAAAATGTGATGTTCTAATTACAGCATATTATGGAGTGATTTTCCCGCACCTGATATACACAGTGCCGGTGTGGGGGTGTGAGTGTGGGAAAACGTCTTTCCTTTTCCGACTCCAGAAGAGGGCAGTTAGGGCAGTCTTTGGTTTGAAAAGAAGAACATCTTGCAGGCAATACTTATTTCATCACAAATTTTAAAAATTTCCCTCAATATACATTTTGGAAACTTTGATTCTCATTAAAAAAAACTTACACCAATATCAATCTTCACTTACACATTCCTATTCACTACGTAACAATTCTCATCTTAAATTTCCATCTCATTCAACTACATTTTTCAAGAGACACTTTCATTACAATGGCATTAAACTTTTTAATCTCCTCCCTCCCTCCCTTCAGCTGGAGTCGGACTTGAACAGCTTCAAAAAGCAAATAAAAAAAAATACTCTTGGCCAAGGGTTACTACAGTGTTCGAGATTGTGTCACTGGTGGGTTTAGTTAGTTAGTTTTTTGTTGAAAGAAGTATAATTGGTATAGTTTTATTGAAGCACCATTGTCTATTGTTTATTTTAATTTTAGTTCTAAGCTATTAATTGACATGACCAATGCAAATTTTGTATTTGTTATTTTGGTTCAATAAATGAGTTATGAGTTATGGAGTGATTAGTTGATTCATTTTTGTAAATCCTTAATTAGGAATGATAAAAAACTTTGGAAGATTTTTTAAATATATTCAGGCAATAAAATATATTTCATTTAGGTTATTAAAAAATAAGAGTTTTAAAGGTAATACCGATGCACAAACCCTCTTGAATGTTATTTTAATCTACTTATTAGCAAGTAGGCCTACTCCTGTCAGTTAGCCTGCTCCAAATACTACAAAAAAAGGTATAAAATATAGTTCATGTGACTGACGTGAAAAATATTTTTGAATTTCTTGTAAACACTAACAAACAACATAATTGAACTGAAGAGCTACATTGCTTGCACTTTCAAAATTCAAACTCGCAGACGAATCATTCAGAATCATCAACACAGGACAGGATCAAGGTAGCCAACATACGTCCAATAAGGAACAAAATTTCTTGTAAACGAAATTCCAACAAACTATACCGCTAATTGATTATAGATTTCTTAAAATAAGGCATGTTTAGCCATGGTTTAGCCTAGTTTAATCAAAGTTAAATGAAATCAAAGAAACATCAAGTTTATTTGTCCAAGACAAATAAACTTTTATCTTTGATGGATTTTCGCAAATATTTAAATTTTATTTAGTTTAAAAATATATTTTTTTTGTATCTGACATCCCATCTGTCCCAACTCGTGGCAAGGAAATTCCCAACTTTTCTCTTTCTCAGATTCTGGCAGGGGAGGCTCCCCCCTACCCCCTACTATTGTTTACTGGCACCGATACGTCAACGACGTACTTTTGCTTATTCAAAGCCAATAATAGACAAATTTACCTGTTTAGAAAATATCCTAATAATCATCCTAGACTTAAATTCACATGAGAAAAGCTCTTCAATCAACTTCCTTGACCTGACAATAACAAAATCCGATAACAAACACCTTTTTAACATTTATAGAAAACAGACACAATCATCCATATATCAGCTCTAATCACCCTACTCTCACAAGATCGCAGCCTACAACTCAAATGCTCTACAGATTGATTCCTTTAAGTGAAGAAAATTATATAAATGAACTTAACACAATAAAACACATTGCCTTGAACACGGTTACATCTCTGACATGATTGATAAACTGCACAGGAGAATTAAGATGAGGAAACGCCAATAATAAAATCGCCAAAGATAAAACTGATACAAATACGTGACATTAGAGCTCTGTAAACTCAACCAACGTCTAGCAACTCGTCCTTTAAGTGTAGGCACAACCATTCAGTTGCATACAGAACTACGCACGCACCCGACGATGGACTTATCTCCAAAACGGCCGTAGTGCTAAATTAACAGGATTGCGAAGATTGTAAGTAGCCTTTATATTCATTACACGCAATCTGGTACACTGAATAATGTGGCAAAATGTGTGTTAATTATCTGGCTGAATAAAGGGCTTTGACTTTGATTTTGACTTGTTATTTATATTTTGAGCTTATTGGTACGTCTGGCTCTAAACAGTGACGTTGCCAATTCTACCAGGCCGTGGCCTGGAGTTAAAGGTGGCCGTGATTAAATTCTATGGTTTTATTCTACATCCGTACTAACATATAATGTTGTCCGGTTCTGGTCATTTCCAACGTTAGAGTCATAAAACTATTATTCCGCATATCTATTATACCGTATTGTAAAAATATGATTTATATTTTACTAAGATGAGTCGTTTAGGGTATAATATCCAATAATTTAATTCTGGATGAATTCATATTCAGTAATAAAATCTCCTCAATACTTTACAAAAGATCTTATAATCAATGGCTGCAAGAACAAACTCAATAATAGCGAAAGAATATCGTAAAAGGATTTCTACACTCACTCAACGAACAATGAAATGTAATCTGCTTCTGTCACTTTACAGCTGTTAAACAAACTCAACAGACAACAACATCCAAGCAAGAACTTAAAATTAAAAAAGATATATAATATAATTATTGTCGTCGTCGGACGTCGACCGTCCCGTCGTTGTCGTTCTCTCTCACTCTCAGTGCTCTGTTTGTAGTCTTATTTAGAGCAGATAGATAGATAGATGATTAAAATAACATGAATCCATCCTAGGCCAGGCCTATTTGATATCTAAGCCGAATCAGTTTTGATTTAATTTTTATAATGGCTTTGCTATTTTAACCTAGAGTCCTCAATGGAAGTTTGAGACTCAAGCAGCCTAATTTTCAAAACAAGGTCCTATCCTACCATCAACATTTGGATTCATAAGATATCATTGATTACATAGCTTCTCTAGGAAAATGGATACAGAGCTTTGTGATAGCTTATTGAAATGGGTAAGTTAAACTACATTAACATAAGTTGATTATCAGTGATGTAGAAATATTTAAAATTAGGTTAGGGTACAGTAATCAAGCTTTTTGGTTATAAACATGTAGCATAAGCTTAGGCAAATTAGTTTAAATGGATTTTGTATCCGGTTTATTCACTTCTAATATGAACATGTACAACAAAATAATTTTATGACAAATGTTTGGTGGACACACACATAACTTACGTGATCCAGATAGGCTAAGTTAAAAGTGGCAAAATGCCTAAATTCTAGCTGTAACTCACAAGAATCCATCCATGACCTTAACTTCCATCCTAGAATCCACTGTTTACGCAGGAAACTCCCATAAGGCTCTACCACAAAAAACTACACCTTTTCCAAGATGGGATTTAAACCCTAAATCATGTAGCTGTTTCCTAACCAGGAGACATCGACCGCTCGGCCATTGATAAGACCGCATGTCTAACACACTTACAAAACCCAGTAGCATTTGTTGGTACTTTCGTATTATACGGAGGCCACTTATTTTACAGCGCGCTGCGGCGGTTAGGATAGGTTGGGTTATCATAAATATGTTTGTAGGACTTTCCTCATTTCGTTATGAATCGAATGATACCAGATGAGTCATAACAAATTTATGATAGGCCTAACCCAACCGAACATAACCACTGTGAGCGCGCTGTATTATAAGTGTGGCCTCCGTATAATACGAAAGTAGTTAGGCCTACCCATTTTTTACTATAGGCCTAAGTCAACGTGAGGTCAAACGCTTTTCAAGTGAAAGCTGTCCAAACTCATATAGGCCTAATTAAGTTTTGTAGATGTGCTGGAAATTGAGCCCGTCCCTCCTGCACCAAAGTTCGAGACGCTAACCACAAGGCTAGCAACACATCGAAGCTTTCAGCTGTTTGAAAGTTTTCAGCTGTGAAGTTTGGATAAGCTACCAGGTTCAATAAATAAAACCTTTGATAGATTGGCCTTTGGAGCTCAAAGAGTCAAAGGTCTTGGTATGTTTACCCATTTAGCTTAGCTTCCAATTAGGCCTAACTTAGACCTCATTTAGGCTAGCTGCAGAGCAAAGACCCAACACACCTATTTCCTGACCAATAACTTGAATCTACCTAGGCCTATACGATGAAGGGTGGTTTTTGCATCACCAGGCATGAGGCCAGAATATTGATTTGAATTAAAGGCATCAGAGGATTAATTCGTTGATGGTCTAGAATCAAAAACAAATTATATAGGCTAGGCTACTTCTAAGACACCAATGGAGTTACCAGCAACTTGGTATTTATTTAACCCTAGATCACTAAGCCTTCGTAATATTTACGACGACAGTTGGTAAAACTGGTTTGGGGCTGACGCCCCACCCTCAAACTCCTCCCTCTCTCGTGACAGGTCCAGTAATTGGCCTTGCAATTCAGTCTAGGGCCAGCTGTCCTGTGGTTCAGTTCGGCGTGTGTGTAAGTTATTGAAGTGTGTTTCGTGATTTTTAAGACGGCTTATGATGGTTAATTCTTGTAAAACATACGAATGCTTAGTGTTTGCGTAAGTTTTTCTTTAAGGTTTTTATTTCTACACGAACATTATTATTTTGTAATTTATACTAAGTTAGGCCTAGGCTATCTTGTTATTCTTATTAACTTTATTTGACAAATGGCTCATAATGATAGATCTTTAGACCTGAACTCTATTAGGAAAATTGTTGCTTGAATAAAACATCAAAGAACCTCTCCCGGATGATACAACTAGTGATGAGAAGATATTTTAGAAAGGGATGACGTTCAAGATAGTGATAGTGCGGATGAAAGTTCAAATGATAGTGATAAGGATCCCGAGTGGAATCCAAATGAGAAACATGGCGCTACCTAGAAGTCTGTGATATAGACTTTACTGATTCAAGTGATATCCGGACGATCCTCAACCTCTTGAAGAAATAGAGACACCTGTATCACCTTATCTCAAGCCTACAACAGTGGAGCCCCCTGTAGATATACAACCTGTAGAGTCTCCTCTCCATCTTTGATTAATCTGCATCCCATTGAGACAGCTCCAACTGCATTGCCCCTATTATCACCAAATTCATTTTATGGTCCACAAACTTTTCAAGGAGTTACTAGTGAACATGATTTACAGCCAGCAGGTGTTGGAATCAATGTACCTGTTGTTGAATATGAAGATCCAACGAATGGTCCAAGTACAAGCTCTACTAGAGTACTCCATAGAGGAATATCTCGTACATGAGGAAGACCTACTACAGGCGAAAGATCAACCACTTCGCACAATAATTGCTATGGAAGACAAAAAAACTAGTTAAAATGAGCCAACATCAGCTAATTGTCTGAGCCTCCTGTATCACTGGTGCAGGGTGTCCACATTCTGGAAAGTCAGGGATAGTTATGGAAAAAAATTCTGGCCATTTAAAGTCATGGAAATAGGCAAAAAGTCATGGAAATCCCCAATGATGGATGTATTTGTTTTCAATGCTCTAGTAGTGTATATTACAACTATGTATGTTAAAACTTTATTCTTACAACTGAAATTGCAACACTGTAAACTCAATAAAAAATAGATAATAAAAGTATATAGATGGGGGAAAAGGAGAGAGTGGAGAGAGAACTTGGACAGCTATGGAGACGTAGGAGGCTGGGTTTTCTTTTTTCTTCCTTTTTTGAATACCATATTTTTGCATAATGTATTACTCCGTTGTTACCTGTTAATACATATTTCAGTATCTTTTGTGAATTAACTTGTCAAGGCAGTATTATTTGTGTGTGTAGGCCTACCTACTTTATATTATAATTTTGAGTAAAGTTTGTGAGTCTTGAAAATCAATAGTAGGCCTAAATGGTCATGGAAAGTCATGCATGGAAATTCATGACAAATTTTCTGTGGACACCCTGCTGGTGCCTTAGGAAGCAGATCCCCTTATATTAGTGTCAAACACGTAAGTTATTCGTGGAAGGGCCATACTCTATGTAGCACCAGTGCACCTCAAAGACAGAATGCCCCGGTCAGAAATGTGGTGTACGACCAGGTCCCAAAAACAATGCAAAAAATGCATATACACCTGGAGAATGTTTTGAGCTGTTTTTCACTCCTGAAATGGCTGTTCTTCACAACAGCCTCCGTAAATTATATGGAATTGTTTGCTTTCTTTGGAATCCTACTTTTTCTGCTACAATGAAAAATAACCACTTATCAAGTAAAGATATGTTTGATCCAAAGCTGTGTGGGAGTCAGTATCAGACTGTGATGAGCAAAGAATAATTTGTTGATTTTCTTTGCTTTACTCTCAGATTTCTTGACAAAAAAACTTGTGCGGAGGGATCTACAACAGATCCTTTAGTTCCAATCAGAGAGTTGCGGGATCAGTTAGTTACATACTACAGATATAGCTACAAGCCTGGTCCCTACATTACAATAGATGATCAGTTTTTAGCATTCAGAGGGAAATACAGATTTAGGATGTACTACATCCCTAACAAACCTTCTAAATATGGATTATAACTAGTGATGTGATACAAGCATCTCTTCGTAATCTTTTTGCACACTATTGGTGCATTGTCATCAAATATCTTTCTAATGTTTGACGTAATTAAGGTTTCCACAATGTCTATTTCCTGTTCAATCATAATACTGTTCCAGGCCAATGCGGTAATCTCAGTCACAACTCGATTAATGTCGAAGTTTCTATAATCTCTATATTTTATTAACTTGGCTTCAGATTTGTTCCTACTTGTACTTAGTATGCAATAAATTAACTTATGATCTGTTATGTTAATGCCTCTGTGATCCGTTATACTCGCAGCATACATTATGCTGGTCCTCTTGACTTCAGTCAACCTGTCCACAATGATGTGGTCTAACAAGATGGCTGAAGTTGCTGTTACTCTCGTTGGCTCATTAATTAGTTGTACAGCACAAGCTTCTTTCAAGAGTTGGCTGTAATATTGACATTCATTACTTGATTCCGACATGAGATCAACATTCAAGTCCACTAAACAAATGACATTGCTCACTTTGACTGCAAGATCCACAAACAAAGAGTGGAACAAGGAAGCAAAGCAAGACTGCCTCACATTGGACGGTTGATAGGCCACACATAGCCCGAGTCTCTCACCCCTTATTTTCTAAATGACACAAAGTGCCTCTATGCTAGGGTTTAAACTATCTTCAAAGCTGTGGCTTCAAAGTGTATACCATCTTTGGTGTAGATGGCAACACCACCACCTCCTTGATCTTAAAATTCTACATTTGTGTTACGATCAACACACTTATTCATTGCCAATTAGCTGATATGCATTGTTGCATAGTTATCTATGAGGCTTAGTGTTATTGGGAATTTATTGTAGCACAAATAAGACACAGCATGGTGTTTCCCCAAGCTCGAAGAGTAAGAAGACATACGTTGAAAGTAAATCGTTGGTTTTATGCCTAGAAAGGTTTGAAAATAAGTTTCCAGGTGTGATTCCAGTACCTAATACATAAACTATTATTGACATATACAAATTTAAGGAAACCGGATCCGTAGTGAACAGCTGATAAGCAATGAACTAAAGAAATAAGGGATATCAACATATACCTAAGCTTGTTTTGTTGTTAAACAGAGCATCACAGTACTTGCAATATTTGGGTTGCGTTGAAAAAAAACAACCTGTACACTATACACTTAAACCGGTATCAGTGACCTTAGAAATAACCTGCCTGGAAGTTAATGCAAAATGTACATTCATAGATTTATACAGGTCATGAAGTTAACTATTTATTTCTTAAAACTAAAAATTCTGTATGTATTTCCAGCTTCAAACATTTGACCTTGAATCTCCGCATGACAAACCTGAGGATGTTCAGGATGGAGTAGCAATGGCCCAGGCTCTACACCAAATGTAAGTTTGATGTGATTGGTAGGTATTATTAAAAAGAAAAAATATTTCATCTTGGATTTTGTTTCTGTGATATGCCTATATGATTATTAGTTGTATTAATTTTTATTCTAGTTTCCATGTAGCCACCATGAAACAGTAGGCCTATAATATCATACGATTTTCAATAAACAGCATTGGCTACAAAACATCAACCTGATCCCCTCTCCATCTACATCATAACAAGGAGACCAGGGCCATATTTAGAATTGAGGAGGCCCCCCGGTGATTCTCACCAGAGAGGCTCCTCTATCTTCTGATTTTTCTTAGGTTGGCACTTAAGGGTTTAGAAATACACATCGTATTGTTTCAACACGATAAATTGACCTTTTGTTTTCAACCATCCGATCGGCAAAAAAATCCGCCGTTAGGGAAATATGGCCCTGACCGAGATGATAGAATTGGCCGACTCTGGAACTGTCTGACCTGGGGCCCTATATTTTGAAATGGTTGACAGTTGAGTCAATCGTCAACACTCAACTCAACCAACAACAGGATTTGGTATTTTTGAAATCCAACAGTTGAGAAGTGAGTTGGGAATCACTAGTTGAGTGACTCGTTTTGGAAATGAAGGCATACGACCGCACAAAATTCAGATTACGTCATTTTGAGCCAATCACAATGCAGAGTTCTTGCGATCTTCGATCTAACCTCTTACTCTAAAATCTGGATCCTTTTATCAGCTAATCTCAATCTACCATATTTTGAGAAACTGAGGTAAACTGTCAACTCCGTTCGTGAGAGATTGAGGTTATGTCTTGCTTAATCTTAGGGATTGCAAAAGTACCTTAATTGTATAAGTAGGCTTATTCAAAATAAAATTTACTATGGATGCTTGTTTTAGGCTGTAGCTCATTATAGGTGTACCCGAAATAAATTATTTGCTTTCTTCGTCTCTATTTCAGAAATCAGAACACATCACCTTATTTTAGTTCCCTTCATCGTTTTTGTTTCATGTTATTTTTAATTGTGTTTGTATTTAGGTTAAAGCTTAAATGGATATTTGCCATTGCACTGAACGCATACCGTAACTTAAAATAATTTGACCCTTTACCCTTTATTAACCTGAACCCTTTATTAGGTTAATTAATTATAGTATTGAAACAAACTAACTATGATATTGTTCTCTTTACCACGATCTTAAATAAATCATAATAACAATTATCTTATAATAAGTTAAATTAGTAGGCCTAGTCTATTTCAAAGTATTGCAAACATACCAACAAGGATAAAACCCTTGATTTGATAGTCTAGTATTGACACAGCAAATAAAATAAAAATACAATTTTGTCTACAGAAAACAATCGCATAAAGTATTGGGTACTATGACATTGACAACAAATACATAACCTCTAATCGCAAATCGCAATTAGTACTCAGCAATAACAATATGGCGTAGACTCAAAAGAGCAATTTTTGCCTAAAGATGAAGAAGAAAGTGCAGTCAACAGTCCACTCAACAGCTCGATAGGTGGTGAGTAGTTTTGGTTGGATAAGTCAACTGTCAAGCGTTTGAAAAATACGAAAGTGAGGGACTCAAACTCAACTCAACAGTCAACCATTTCAAAAATAGGGCCCCTGGTCGGTTGGCGGAACTGGCTAACTGTCCCACTCCGGAATCAACTAACTCCGGGACCTGCACAATTTTGTCCCACGACGGAATTCACTAACTCTGGAAGTCACTAACCCGGCCCCGCCCACTGCACGGAGCGTTGCTTAAGTTGTACGACAAAATAATCGTTTACTGCCACGATTATTAATACGTCAGGGATCACGAAGAGAATTGTTATTGTTTTTTCAATGATCAATTAGTAAGTGGAGGCCAAAACTCGGACCTGGCCGATAGGCCCTACATCACGTCGCAATCTGCCAGTTTTGGCGCAGTCATGCTGCTGAGCCCAAGTGGTCACAAGACCGTCCCTGACCAATCAGAGCGTTCCGAGTGCCTTGAACCATGATTCAATACGAATATTCAGGCTTGGTAGGTGCTGCAGCCAAATCATTACTTAAGGCATGAGCAAAACTAAGAATGAAATGAAGTAGGTGAAAAATGAGACCAGGAATGTATTACCACGCTATCGTTAACCACGTGCGCTGCAGTGTCAGCGCATTCCATGATATATCCGGCCAAGCCACGACATCTGGTTAGTATTGTTGAAATGAAATGAAAAATTCTTTATTTTACCAGGCAAACTTAACCTGACAAACGTAAATATAAAGAAATAAAAATGCATTGAGATTTTTTATTCTAATATAAATCTACATATTTAACAAATCAAGAACAGATGAAACAAAAATGCAATTTAACAAAATAATAATAACTATAAATAGAAATAACAAAAAAAAAACACATTCACACCGTCACACCCACACGCGCCAGCAATCGCGCAAAAACACAGAAGCCCTAGGATTGTTGCCGAGTTATGAATTAATAGAATAGACTGGAATACCGTTTTTAAGGTTCACTTGGAGACTTATACGAAGTTAAACTAGGTGGCGTTCGCAGAGGCATCCACAAAATTGAGCGGAGTCATCAAGGGTTCGTATTATATTTTTTTTCATACTGCAGTAAAAACGTTTTAATGCATGCGTTGCGGGTCTAAAGTAGCATTTTTACTCTTAGGGGAGTAAAAATCGTTTTTAGCCTCTACGGAGTAAAAATCAGCTGTTGTCAACTCAGTTGTAAATTTCGATTGAAAACGATTGCATGTATCGGAAATATAATATGTATCGATTCGTGCTTCGTAATCATTTTAACCTACAGTCTACAGTCTCTTCCCATAGCATTTTAGTATTGCAGATACATTAATCCATTCCCACACTCAACACTGCTCACCTTTACTACTTCCTTCGCCACCCCCTACGTCGTGGACCTGTTTCCCTCTCTTCCCATAGCATTTTAGGATTGCAGATACATTAATGTAATTGCCAAAGACAGTTCCCACACTCTGCACTGCTAGCCTTACTACTTGCTTCACTATTTCCTTCGTCATAGACCTGTTTCCTTCCCTTCTCATAGCATTTAAGTATTACAGATACATTTATCTAACTGCCCAAACGGTTCCCCCACTCTGCACTACCAGCCTTTAATACTTCCTCCGTCGTGGGGCCTGTTTCCTTCCCTTCTCATAGCATTTTAAAATTGAAAATACATTAATCTAACTGCCACAGACGATTCTCACACTAAGCTCATACTTTACTACTTCCGAAGCCATCTTCCTACGTCGTGGACCTGTTTTCATCACTTTCCATATCATTTTAGTATTTTAGATACGTTAATCTAATTGCCACAAACATTCTCCACACTCTCGCACTGCTAGCCTTTACTAATTCTTTCACCATTTCCTATGTCGTGGACATGTTTCCATCCCTTCTCATAGCATTTCAGCATTGCAGATACATTAATCTAACTGCTACAAACGGTTTCCAATTCCCACACTCCACGCTGCTCACCTTACTACTTCCTTCACCTATTCCTACGTCGCGGACCTGTTTTCCTCTCTTCCCATAGCATTTTAAGATTGTGGATACCTTAATCTAATCGTCGTTAACAGTTCCCATACTCCGGACAGCTCGCCTTGACTACTTTCTTCACCACTTCCTACGTCACGGACCTATTTCCCTCCCTTCCCATAGCATTCCTCCCTTTCCATAGCATTTTAGGATTGTAGATACCTTAATCTAATCGTCATAAATAGTTTCCACACTCCGGACAGCTCGCCTTGACTACTTCCTTCACCACTTCCTACGTCGCGGACCTGTTTTCCTCTCTTCCCATAGCATTTTAAGATTGAGGATACCTTAATCTAATCGTCGTTAACAGTTCCCACACTCCGGACAGCTCGCCTTGACAACTTCCTTCACCACTTCCTATGTCACTGACCTGTTTCCCTCCCTTCCCATAGCATTTTAGGATTGCAGATACCTTAATTTAATAATCATAAAAAGTTCCCACACTCCGGACTGCTCGCCTTTACGACTTCCTTCACTACCCCCTACTTCACGGACCTGTTTCCCTCCCTTCCCTTACCATTAATGGTTTGCAAATACCTTAAATCTATTAGTAATAAACAGATCCCACACTCCAAACAACTCGCCTTTACTACTTCCTTCACCACTTCCTACGACACAGACCTGTTTCACTCTCTTCCCATAGCATTTTAGGATTGCAGACACCTTAATCTAATCGTCATAAACAGTTCCTACACTCCGGACAGCTCGCCTTGACTACTTGCTTCACCACTTCCTACATCGCGGACCTGTTTTCCTCCCTTCCCATAGCATTTTAGGATTGTAGATACCTTAATCTAATCGTCATAAACAGTTTCCACACTCCGGACAGCTCGCCTTGACTACTTCCTTCACCACTTCCTACGTCACGGACCTGTTTTCCTCCCTTCCCATAGCATTTTAGGATTGCAGATACCTTAATCTAATCGTCACAAACAGTCCCCACAGTCCGGAGTGCTTGCCTTTACTACTTCCTTCACCACTTCCTACGTCACGGACCTGTTTCCCTCCCTTCCCATAGCATCAGAGGATTGCATATACCTTAATCTAATGGTCATAAACGGATCCCACACCCCGAACAGCTCGCCTTTACTACTTCCTTCACAATTTCCTACGTCGCGGACCTGTTTCCGTCCCTTCCAATAGCATTTTAAGATTACAGATACCTTAATTTAATCGTCATAAACAGTTCCTACACTCCGGACAGCTCGCCTTGACTACTTCCTTTACCACTTCCTACGTCGCGGACCTGTTTTCCTCCCTTCCCATAGAATTTTAGGAATGCAGATACCTTCATCTAATCGTCATTTTTAAACAGTTTCCACACTCCAGACTGCTCACCTTTACTACTTCCTTCACCACTTCCTATGTCACGGACCTCAATCTAGTGTCGTCATTTGATTATAATTTATGATCCATACCGTTTCTGTTCTAATATCTGTGGAATAATGCTATCAGCTATTTCTTTATTTACTGCATTCAATAGTCAACAGCTGATCATATGTCTTTGTTTATGTGTCAAATACTGCTTCCATAAGGATTACATTGAAACTTTGAGACCCAGTGGGGCGGATTCCTGAGAGACTTTTTTAACGCCATATAGATGTTGGCACTCACCGATATGGTCTTTATCACCTTGCAAAATTTGAAAACGATTGATTCAGCCGTCTAGGAGGAGTTTGCGTATTACGAAATGCATAAGAGTCGACGTATAAGAGCTTCGCTCGCTTCGCTCGCTCCGCTCAATAAAATACAATACTGCTGGCCATGGTTGGTAAATATCAACCTAATGAATATCTGATGTCGGCCTGTAAGGCAGGTTTAGGAAGTACCATCCAACAGGTTTAAGCCAGTCAACTTAAGCTTAAAGTTACAAATTTGTAACAAAATGAGGCAAAACAATTCTAGGCCGTCACACAACCATTCATAAGGTATCTTTGAATAATTTAACAAGGTTCTCATGGGTCTAGGCCTAACTGATAAGCCATTCTGATTTTCAGAGATCCAGAGTGGTTTAGTTACAATTGGTTGAGTAAGATTAAGACAACAGACACCAGAAATTGGAGACTCAAGGTAAGCTGTTTTATAATATAGGCCTAAATAGGTTGAACCTATACTGATTTCCTTTAAACACAGCTGTTTTATAATATAGGCCTGAATAGGTTGAACCTATACTGATTTCCTTTAACACGTTCGCTACTGCAATAGTACGAAATTTGTCATTCACATAGACCAGCGACGCACATATGCGACGGCCGGTTTCCACCCATAGACTGCCATCGCATATTTGCGTCGGGGTTCTAATGTTATTAAAATGCTTATATCTTTTGTAACGGTCTATTTGAAGGCACTGAAATCCCTGCAGTGGTCTACAGAGATGTCTGACGCACAACTGCGTCACTTAGTCTGTGGATATGATGATTGGTGACGTCATATGATAGTTGGAAAAACTGGTCTTTACTTTTCTGCATCACTGTATGTATGTATGCAGTATGTATGCTGCATTATCCTATGTAGCTTTTATATTTGTTCAGTTATAAACTTATCTTGAATAATCTGTTTTTTTTACTTTCATCTCAAAACACAAACAAAAATGAACTGTCGCATATATGCGACGTTTGGTCTATTTCAAGAAAACTATGATAATTTTCACTATTGTCTTCGCTGTAGACCAGGCGTCGCAAATATGCGACATTACAAAAGGTTATAAAAAATACAAAAAAAAACATGAATAAATTATTTACAAACATGATTGTAGCGTATTACAATGTAAATGATCACTGTTTTACAGGTTTTTGCCTGTAGTCTGTGTGTACTGTTATCCAAGTGACAGCCGGTCTATGTGTAAGATTCAAATGTTTACCTTGGTCTGTGGTAATGACCGCGGGGTCGCATATATGCGACGCTCAGTAGCGAACGTGTTAAACACAGCTGTTTTATAATATAAGCCTAAATAGGTTGAACCTATACTGATTTCCTTTAAACACAGCTGTTTTATAATATAGGCCTAAACAGGTTGAACCTATACTGATTTATTTTAGTTCCTAAATACTTAACTCTACTCCTCTATTATGTAAGACTGGATGTATTAATTAGCACAGCAAGAAATAATACTACTTTACCCTAGAGTGAACTAATTTACTGGCATAGGAAAACTACTGGTTATGTACCTAACTAGGTTTTTAAACCACAATAAAAATTACAAATAATTATATAATATTGGGCTGTATATAGATTTATTCAGAATAAATCAAAGAATCATGCCACTTTAAGTTCCCATGGTCAGCCTAAAGTCAAAAAAGTCAAATATTTTTACTAAGTTGTTAAATTGGTTTTTTATAAAAAAAAATTATATTTCTGGTTGCAGCTCAGTACAGGTGAGTCACATCATCGTATAGTAAATGATAATAATACTATTGTAAATGTTGTGCTGATTATAAAAATGTATACTTTATGAGAGTTATTTCAAGTTATTTCCTTTATGCAAGCTCTAATGACAAATAACCTTGACATAGGCCTAAGCCCATCCAGCAATCCCCTCAAGTCACTTAAACAATTCTTATAGTTTTTATCCATTTTATCTTAATTATTTATAACTTTTTACAGTTTTTAATGCTCAAAAATGTATAGTGAGGACTATGGCCCGAGTTTAAAAAAGAAGCTGCAGATCTTTATTTAAAGCTATCGGTATTTTAACAGTTTAAAAAAATGCATCTTATACATTAATAAATATTCAATACAATAAACAAAAGTTTCAACAAAATAAATAGAAAAAAAAACAGTAAACAATGATCGTAAACAAAGCTGACAGACAACAGTCAACAATAACTAAATTAACACAACCGTTTATATAGATAAAACAATCGTTCAAAGAGGAATAAAAATACTGAAACTTTTGTAAATATATACTATAGGCTAACTCATGACAAATCATGTTAAACAGGGGGCTCCAAAATTCAAAATTATGTTAAATGCAGTCAAGTAGTCGCACATTTTCCAGTGCAGGAACACTCACCATTGTTGTAGAAAAAATATGGGTAACGTACCAATACAGGTTCTTTGTAAAAAGCAGAGTCCTCCCTCTCAGACGGCCACACCTCCACTACACCACTGGTTTAATGGATCAATATAAAAGAAAAATCAAGGATAACATTTCCTACAAAAATGGCCTTGTTAGCAAGGTATCCACCATTTTGTTTTTTTATGTTTTAAATGTAGGCCTATATCTTAAAAGATCTTTGCGATATCCTTATGACATTTGGTATACAATTGTTAAAAGACATAGGTTATTTAAAAAAAATAACCATTACAAATATTTGTTTGTTTCAAAGTAGCGTGTGTCGCATATGGAGAGTCAACTGCCCTTACATTTTTGTGATAAATGTTCCTAGTCACATAACAAATAGAATTACGTTTCATTTGATGAAATATTTTCAGGTTAGTAATTTGAAAAAAATACTGGAAAGGATTACTGACTATTATCAAGATGTTTGCAACCAGCCTCTTCATGAGTCGGGAAAACCAGATGTTACAAAAATAGGTCAGTTATTTTTTAACCTGAGCTTAGATATTTTAAACAGGTGATACCTTGACTTTTAATTTCTAATCAAACTGGCTCCAAAAAGGAAACTATTAAGTATATGAGGCCGAACTGGAAAAACTGCGCCTTCAAGCAGCAAAGAACCATATATGGAGAGAGATGTAATATGAATCCTTCAATGTGTGTGTATCATCTATGTACTTTCCTTGCACTCCTCCCTCAGTCCCTGAGTAAATCATATGCATCCGTCTCTATTGGGCCTCTCTCTACAGTAATTTATTGTCAAACAATTACGCTGGGTAGGCCACCGACCACTTGAATAGCCAAAAGAGAATTTCTTTTTGTTTTGGGCCATTTTTCCTGAATTGTTAATTTGTTTGTCCTTTTCTCATTAATAAAGGCTCCTCTAGGATTTGTCTGAACGCCAACATGGCCAGTCTGCCCCTGAACTCAACCTTAACTTCTAATCCCAATCAATCTAACTTAGCTAATCCCTGTGTCTATCTGTGTGTTATAACTTTTTCTCTTGGGCACCGATGAATTTGAGTGTTTAGCCCATGCCTTGTTGTAGGTCATAGAAAATCAGTATGATTGAGTTGAGATGTCGACATGAAATAAACTTGGACAGCACAGAACTCTTTGTGACTTATTTTATAAGATGTTTACTACTTTTATCCATCTTAAACGTAGAGGTTAACTGTGAGAAAGGACCATTAAGTCCTAAGTTCGCCTCAATAAAGAAGCATTATATTTGTATTTTAACCAAATTGAATTGAAAAATCCTTGATTGCTCAACATACATTGTTGATGTAACAGTAATCAAATCACAATTGTCATTGAAACACAATTATTTGTATATAATATATAAAACAGTAAATCTTAAAATTAATGCCTACATAACTAAAAAGAATTATTTTTTAAACTGTATACTGTTTACAAAAACATAAAATTCCATACAATGAAATATAGAGCAATAAAGTCTTAAGGTTACAAACTTATTAGGGGCGTGCGATGCAACGAAAATGCATTGAAATTCCGATTCGATGCATCGAACCGCGATTAAAATCAGTGGGGGACAAAAAACTATTCGATTCATGAGGGAGTCAGTATCCATATACGAAAAAACGCCTGCAGAAAGTCAATGCAATACCCGCAATACAAGAGCGCGTTGTTGTTGCGTTCCCTTTGCGAAAGAGTTCTTAATTAATTCTTTGCATGTAAATATTACTTTAACTGTTTTACAATTATTTTGTTTTGACATTGCAAATGATGAGAAGTTTTGTTAGTGTAAGCAGTGTGAGACATATTTTACTACAGTAAACATAGCCAAAACAAGTCACTCCAAAATCATTCTAAAAATAATACAAGTCTTAAAAATCGTTACTTGATACTTAACTAGTAATACTGATGTTTTAGACTGATAAATTTGGTATTTTTGTAGGTCTGAAGCTGGACCAATGCCCGTTTTTTTACTTGAACCGACTTTATTTTACATACACTTGAGTGGACTGTAATATCTGACTTGCTTCGGTGACTTATTTGGGGCTAGACATGAAGAACAATACATACATTTGAAACAATGGGTTTATTAAGGCTTTCACTCTTCACAGTTAACATGGATTGTACTTTACTTTTACCTAGAAATTAAGTGTACCTTATATCTTACAGTAATATTTAACTTAATTTAGATTTATTAGTTGAAATCTGGCCAGATGCATTAATTTCCCCAATACTTAAAAGTGGTTAAATGGACTTGGAGGAAGGAAGGGAAGTGGCCACATAATGTCTGTTGACTGTTACTGATGCTAATAATGTTCACTTATGATGTTGGAAAGATCTTACCCACTCCACCAGTAGTTCAGGCTTTGCCCACTAGAGTTCAGCACCAATCAAACACACAAACACTGCATTACACTTAGTTTACTCACTTTCCACAAGAGTAATAGGAGATTGGAGGGAAATAAGGAGGGCCCAAACAGAAGCTATGTACACCTTGTAGTTTGAAGGTCTGATTCTATCCTCTCATTTGATCAATGTAAACCGTATTAAAAGTTTTAGTACAAATCTTAGAAATGTTTTTATTTATTTAGCCTACACCAAAACATAACTTATTTGTAAAATCAATATTGTAAAATAGGTAACATGCTTAACATTATGATTCTGCAAGTAAAATTATGAAATAGGCAAGTAAAGCAGCTCACTGACATTTCCAGCAATACAGGTTCTTCTAATATATAGTTGAAAATAAATATTTATTCACCAATTATTCATATAATAATAATTTATCATATGTATGAATAGGCCTACCACATCAACAAAATTTGCATTACACAAATGTGGTAAATTTTAATTATTGTTATTTCACTCCATTGACAAGTGTTGAATAGAAAAATGCCGTATTGCTTCGAATCGAGTTGCATCGATTCGAATAAAAAATCTTTTGAATCAAATCGTTGCTTTGAATCGAACATTTTTTGTTGCTTCGCACACCCCTAAAACTTATGTGGGAATCTACACATAATTCTTACACAAACTCAGTAGGCTAGTAGAGGAATGCCTGGCTGGAATCAGTGCCACAAATCATGCTACATATATATATGTCGAGGAATTTTTATCTTTCTGTGTCTAGCAGAAAAAAGGATTGGTTAAATTAGCATGGTTGTTAGGTGAGAATTAGATAAGGTATCAAATTGTAATCTTTTAACTCCTAATAGCCCAAAGCCAAAGTAGTTGAATGGTTTATTTGAAATAAGTTACTCTGTTGCAGGTGAAAAATGTGACCCTACGGAGCTTGGCCGTTTACTTCAACTTATTTTGGGATGTGCTGTAAACTGCAGTCAGAAAGAGAGTAAGTTTACAAACTCTAAATATTTGTTTTATTTTTGCTTCTTAGTTTCTTGATTGATTATCATTTTAGACAACATTGTAACACCTAAAAAGTGAAACAATATATTGTAAATATCATTTGTCTCAAAGGTTGTGGTTGATCAAATACTGGAATGATATGATAACATTTATACCTTAGCGGTCGGAAGGCCACTACATGTGGCCACGAGATCCGTAACAAGCTGTAATATATATACGAAGCGACGCACCTATAGCTCGGCAGGACTACTCTTAGTGCCCCCCCCCCTCCTTTCCTGGCTTGGTCACCATTATTACTACTCTTGTTTTTGTTTACCTCTTACGCTTGGATTTAAATTCATAGTTGCAAGCCTTTTAACTCCAAAACACTGATCTTTAACCTAACATATAACTGTAAACTTGGCCATCATTAGGATTCACTTGTGTACACTCTTATTTAGTAACAAATTTATTACTTAAATATTAAAACGTTTATAATTAAATTATTTAATACTAGCAACAGAGCCCGTTGTGGTTAAATACAACGGTCTCTAGTAAAATAATGGTTATGCACCACCATACACCACTTTACTCACTAATATTAATGGTACAGATTAAGCACATAACATTAGAAACACACACTTAACATAAGGAACACCATTTAAACACAAATGCAAATTGTTAACAACAACATTCAATCAAAGAAAAATCAATTAAATAACAATATAACAATAAGTTTGTTACATCCTAAATGCCTACCTTTACTTATTACTTATTTATTTTATAACTATTATCAGCTGGTTATAATGTTTACTTGTTCACTTTGTTTTTAATTTGTGTTGAATAAAGTTGGTTAAAATTGTACTTTGATAAATACTTTTATTATTTGTTCTAATTACATACAGAAAAAAGCTGTTCAATTAATTATTAACATATGTTTCGTATGGTTAGATTATGCATATTGGTAAACCAATTATTGCCATCTATAAAATTTATTGGTTTTTCTTGTCCGAGTCGGGTTAGCTCTTCTACCCGACTGATTTTCATAATTTTGGTCTTAACATAAAGCTATGCAAGCATATATTTGTCATCAAGTATCACCATTAATTTATCTAATGTATTACTCGACTTCTTCAATTAAATGTGTATTCCAGCAGTTCTAATTACATTACCCTATATGTTTTGGTCTTAAATTAAAACGTTTAGTGAAATACCAGTTTTCATTTCAGCTATTGATTATTAAGATCGGACTACCTAAAGCACACTGCTGAATCACGAATCATCAATAATTATAATCATTTTAGTTTAGTACTTATCTGCAATCAATGATAGGTAACTCTATTTTTATTTAAGTTATTTTATGTCTTGGTTTATATGTCATAGATTTATAGTCAAGGATCTTGCTTGCAACCTCAACAGTAACTGTTGACTTTAAGTGGTTTCACCTAGTAAATCTTTAAAAAACCATACTTCCATTATTATTTGCTAGTCTACATAAATTAGGCTTTCCAATGACCTATTAGTTATTTAAATAGGTTCAATAGAACTGTAGATTTAATTGTACGAAGTTTAACAACAACATCTTTAATTCAGTATTTTCTCACCACTATAAATAGGGAGGTTGCTTAACGTTTTTGCAAATAACTTTTAAATGGTGAGGAAATCGACCAAAGTGGAAGGTGATATTCTGATAGAGAATGAAATTTCCTACAAATTACTATCATGTATTTCTTGAAAATACTCAATAAAGGCAGCCTAAAGTTAGCTACAAATATAAAGTTGGAAATATAAACTTGGGAAAAAAGGCGTTTTAAATGTATTATTGTTTTTTTTTTCACCACAAATATTTGATAAAATCATACTTTCATAATTATTTGCAAATCTACATAAATTAGGCTTTCCAATGACCCATTACTTAACAAAATCGGTCTAGTAGAAGTCTAGATTTAGTTGTACAAAGTTTAACAAAAATATCTCTAACTCAGTATTTTCTCATTATATAATTTCGGAGGTTGCTTAGCTTTTTGCAAACTTTTAAATGGTGAGGCAATCGACCAAAGTGGAAGATGATATTCTTAAAGAGAATAAAATTTCCTACAAATTGATACCATGCACTTCTTGGAAATACTTTAAAAATGCAGCCAAAAGTCGCACACAAATAAAAAGTGTGAAAAACACTGTTTCAATGTATTTCTTATGGAAAACATGTTTTTTTAATTTTTCACCATAAATCATGGCAAAAACAAACTTTCATAATTATTTGCAAATCTACACGAATTAAGCTTTCCAACGATCCATTAATTAATAAAATCAGTCCAGTAGAACTCTAGATTTAGTTGTACAATGTACAAAGATTTTTAAAACTGAATTATATATAGAATAGATTCTTAAATATAATAAAACACATAGTATCTTTTATGGTTAAAACTGATTCAAAAGCAATGAAAATGGGTAATTTACAATTATTTAGGCCTATATAAAAAAAACTACAAATCAAAACAAAATATATTTTACAAATTATTATGATTATTGTACAGTTTTATGCAAATTACCAGCTTTATATTAGTTTAGTGTTAAGTAGAAAGATTATATCTAATATATAACATTACTGTAATTTAAAAGATTAGTACTTAAAACAAAATAATATAAAGTAGTATTGTATATAAAAACCGTTAAAATAAAATAAAATGCTGATTTCCCTCTACACCTTAAAACTCAAAAGATAGTCATCTTTGTCGACTTGTAATAAATCACGTATAGTATCGGATGTTAGGTCTCTATCTGAGGCCATTTGAAATCATAAATATCAATTAATTACATATTAAAAGGCTTTACAAGGACTATTGCACAACACAAGCTAATAACTCACAAGGAAAAACGTGATAATATTGTTATAAGCTCATATAACAACCAATCAATCAATTAATCAATTCTTTATCCAGAACGTAGAGATACATCGTACATGAATGCGCCATTATGGTTTTTTTATATATTTTTTAGATAAAATAAGTATATTACTTTAAGTAAAAAAATTTATATAACAGCAGTTTTTGACAACGGATTTTTGTTGTCTCCAGATAGTTCCGATGATTGTCGAGGGAGTGCAGCTCCTCCCAAGCGGAGATAATCAAAAACAAAATTACAATGCTAAATATTATGAAGACAAACAGAGGGCCACAATGGGCTGGCCAGCCGAGCTGAATAGGGATTGCGTAGTGGGCTTTACGCATGGCCGGCCCGAGCTGCGGGGCTACCTTCAGCGCTGACAATGTCGCGTTATTCAACAAAATGGAGAGGGCCACTAAGTGTGGCCTTCCCGGTCCATAGGGAAGGAAAAGAGAACGATAAATACGACCGCAAAGGGTTAAAAAATTTTGAATTATACCTACAGGTGTATTTCTATTTGCTTTTATTTAATTAATTCAGTAGTACCCAAAAAGGTTTTATCTGTGAACCCACCTTCAAGAAATCTATGGTATCTTGGCTTGTGCCAACCTAGGACTAGCCAGATGCTACAAAGACAAGAATATAGTGATTTCGTCTGATTGTCAGGCTGCTCTTAAACTGCTCTTGAGTCTTGACTCCAATGAAGTCACCTTTAAGCTACTTTGGGAGTGTTTCAACACCCTATGCAGACTTTCCACATGCTACTCTGTAACTCTCGGCTGGGTTCCAGGACATGTAGGCATAGGCAGCAACGAGAGTGCAGATAACCTGGCAAAAAATGGTGCAAGCATGCCATTCTTTGGACCCGAGCCATTCTGTGGCATCAGCAAAAGCTGCTGCTAAACATGCAATCATGCAATCAACAAATGGTCCAGAGGACAACACCTAGAGCATTGGCGTAATTATCCTGGACAATCACTTGGCAAGAAATTTCTCTCAGAACCTAGCACCCTCTTCACTCGCTGGCTGACAAAGCTGGGGAGAGGGTAGGTCACGCAGGTACTTGCTCTTATCACTGGACACGGCCATTTCAGGAAACACCTCCACACTCTAGGAATTGTCAATAACAATCAGGAGTGTCGACTTTGCAACCAGTCTGATGAGACTGCAAAACACATTGCTCTGGATTGCGATGGACTTGAGGCTAGGAGAAGGGCTCTGTTTTGTCTAAAGCAGCCAGGTGATGAACCAGACACTAACATTGGACAAAAGCTCCTGCACCTAGTCAAAGACACAGGCATATGCTTACCCAGTTAGCGGCAAGTGGTATGCACCATAAGCTTCGGTTGACCTGCTTGGACCACGAATCCACCCCTCTCACAATACAATATCCACCTTCTTAAAACCACACATTCTGTTATCATTTGATTCTAGTAGTCAACAAAGGTTGCCATAGTTATATGAACGTTATAATCGTTGTAGTAGTTCTGATGATAATAATGTACAGCATCCTTCCATACTAACTAATATTAACTTAAAAAATTAGATTTAGAAACCAGGTAACTGTAAATTGCCATCTTTTTCTTAGTTAATATTCCTTACTCATTCCCTGTGGTACCTAAAATAAAATTTGTCAGTTATCTTTGTCAGCAACTTTGTCTTTGGCTCTTTTCTACATGTGTTGTTGTGTCTTCTTCTCTCTTTACACCTTCTTTTCTTTCTTTCTCCTAGTGTTTCTAGTCAAGTATCTGTCTTGCTATGTCTACATGCTCGGTTTTACTCAATACAGGGTACATAGAACGGATCATGTCTCTGGAGGAGTCTGTGCAGGTGGTAATCATGAGATCCATTCAGGAGTTGGAGAGTATGCATGGATCCACCAACTCATACCCGTTTGTGACAGCCACTCTGAGTGAGACTGAGGCTCAAGTGCAGAAACTACTGGTAGATCTGCAGACTGCAGTGGAGGAGAAAAACCAAACTGTGCAGAGGTGTCTCAAACTGGACATGCAGGTATACTACACAATAAAACATGTGGAAACAGTCAATTACTGCTAGGCTTTTAATACGTGGTCAAAGATTTAAAATAGTACATTACGTTACTAGCCCAATAAGTGACAAGCACGATACTAGTAACTGTACGCTGCACGGTGATTTATCCATTTTTGGTGTACAATTTATTGTGTACTGCACAGCAGAGAGTAAATTACTCGCCTATAAACAGGCACAGGAAACAGATGTTTCTGTTCAGTATGATGTGATAGTATATTTCTATTTAATTACTAGTACCGAAATTGGCATTTTCTGGTGCTTGTTCAAGTTTCATGTTCGAGGCCAAGCCGAACAAAGGAACACCAAAATTCACAAGCGAGTCAAAGCCAAGCATGTGAGAATTAGAATTCAAGTACAAGACAAAGCCTAGGGTGGGAATAATTGGAGCAAGTGCTGGGAAATCGCTTTTAGGACAAGTTATGAATTATACTTTTCATCACAATGCTAAAATACTCACATACAGAATAATAGATCAGTAAAACTAAAACTATTATATTTTCTAACTAACATTGTCTATAAATTATCCCAATGGGTTACTCACTGACTGACTCACTCACAGTATACAAATGTTTATTCACTTCTAGAATAGCTGGAGATCTGAAACTTAGCACGATTAATAGGTCTTGGGCCCAAACAATAAGGGAAATTCCCAAAAATGTAGTTTTTAAAATATTAATCCCTCAACAAATTGAAAATGACGGATTTTCAATAATTTCAAAGGAGGTGTCAAATTGTTGTTTTGATAAAAAACTGTAGGCACCTTGTGGTCTTCATTCTAAACGAGCTATATCTTTGTAATTTTAAATTATTTACCATCTCTCTCCCCCCCCCCCTTACGCTTAAAGCTCATAAGCCCTTCTTTTGTGTTTTATGCTGACCTGTAGTAGGTTAACAAAGTTTTGGGCATGTTTAACTTTATACCTTACCTAATACATGTCAGTTCTATTTATTCTAACATTTGCTGTGTTATGTATAACACAGCCAAACAAGCTTATGACTACTTCTTTTTACATTTGTATTGTTGAACTTTAAAAATAGCTGATTTAAATGATAAATATAAATGGTAAAGAAAGAAACACTTGTGTACATAATGGGCAGATTTTACTCAAATATTCACACTTTTTATATAGTCTTAGTTCAAACCCCCTTTTTAATTATCATTATTATAAATGTTTACAACATTTATTTTCACCCTGAAATCTGCTTGAATTAAACTGCTAACAAAATTATATTTAAATATTACACTCCAAATACAATATTTTTGCAATTTCTGAATTTTGAAAAATAGCTTTTTGAGTATTAAGAGCGTAAAGTCCATCATTGCCGATCGAGAACTGTAGATGGCGGCACTCAGCTTTTGAGAGTGGAAATGACTGTTTGTGTTCGTAATACACACAAGCTTTTTCCTACCACCATAATTAATGTATTATAACACACAGATTAACTTTCAGTTAGCCTATATATAAATTTCGTTTAGGTTATGTTTGCTTTTTTAGGTTATGTTATTTTCTTACCAGTTGTTAACGTACCGGATCTGCGGCTGTAGTTCGCGTAGAAACGCCAACAGTGAAATCAGCTGATTACCGAGCGTAAATGAACTATTTTGCGTACTGTTTACATGTGGAGCAATATGATTATTATCATGCAATAGTAGGAAAAATACAATTTTATTGATTGTACATGGTTTTAATACGTTTTTGTATTAATGTAAGAATAAAAAACTTTGTTTGTCTAATGTTTCAACACCCGGAAAAAAACTCTGTTTGTCACCAATCGTGTTTTAAAATCAAAGACACCGACGAAGAGTTAATGATCTTTCTCCTTATCATTCAGCAGCAGTTTAGTCAATCTGAATTGGTTTCAATGAGTAATGCATCTTGGACCATCAGTAAAACAATATTGTAATTAGAGAAAAACAATTTTGTAACTATTACATAGGTATATATATATATATGTATAATGGATTTTAATTCTTTTTATGATGATATTTTAAGCCATTTAGTTTTATGATAGACAACAACACAAGTAGACTTCCCATCACATTGTAAATTTTGAAGCTTGTTTTTCGTGTCTAGTTCCTGTCCGGTGACACTGGTGGCTAGTGTGGACGAAATTTAGTTTATATTCTTTTAGAGATTAGTGCTTTTCTGTTTGGTTACATGACTAAAGTATGAGTTATTGTTTATGATTATAACGTTTTATTTGGTTAAACGGGGTTTTAAATGACTGAAATAACAAGAAACAAATTGTAAACAAAACACGACCTCTACAGTGTACCAGACAGAACTAACGATAAAATTGGCTTCAGCTGTTCCATAAGGATGGGAAATCTACTAAGGGAGTATGTTTTATCTATGGTTTTATCCTAGGTTCTTCAGTTACAAGAAGAGAAGGCAAGTTTAGAAGAAGATAAGAAGAGACTTATGGAACGTTTACAGGAAGATCCATTGACTGGAACTTCTTTGTCACATAGACAAATAAAAGATCTTAAAGAACAGATCTTCAAACTAGAAACATGTAAGAAAGTTTGATTTAGTTTACTTTTCTAGTATGTGATGGTCAACTAATGGTTCTGAGACGATTCTCTGATCAGAGGAAATCAAACCTTTTACAGAGATTTGTTATATGAAATAAAAGTGCCATGTATAACTTTCCAAAGTCTATAAAACAAATTGTGGCATGTTTTATTAATATTTCCTTATTATGTTATATTTCATTATTAATTCTCCACTAATTCCCCACTAAATATAATGTCTCGCACTTGTAACACCTATCAGTTTGATATATTTAACTTGTCACAAAAAAATTTTAAATGTCTGATTGTTAAATGAATTCAAACTTTCTTATCAACGTTAATTAATAATTTTTTCAAATAGTACCTATTTATTTGTTATATTATATTTATTCCATATTTATTATATTTGATTCATGACCATCAGTATTATTTTAGTTAGTATAAATTCTCTTGTGACTGTATTATATTGTCATTCTTATTTATATTTCATATTCTTTTATTTATATTTTGATTGAAACTGTTATATGACTGCCACCATAGAAGACGGACATTTTTCCCTTGTTTTTATTTCTATATTGTAACATTCTTTTTACATGATATCCTGCATGATTCTTTGTCGTTATATTTGCTACAAAGTAATTGGCATGTGCTGTTTTGTAGCATTGGAAAATAAAATAAAATAAAAATAAAATAAAATAAAATATTTTTGTTAGTATTTTTATAAAAATTATTCACAAGTGTTAAAGGCTGAATTATACACTGTCAATTTTCAGATAATTTAGTGTAGAATCAGTAACAGATTTAAACAACTGTAGGCATGAGGATATGATGAAAATAATAGTTGATAACTTGTTTATGGTACATTGGTAATAGGCGGTGGCCTGAATATTCCTTATTCATAAAAGATTTGAACAACTTTACAAAGGTAGTGAAGATTTCATTTTACTGAACAACGTAGTCATGTCAATTAGGGAGATAGACTTCTAGGGAGTAAATTTGTTGGGTTGTATAATTGATACAAACTTAAACTTCTTCTAAGCTACTCTCAACAAGAATAAAATCATATCCGTCAGTTGCAACACCACTTTTTAAATTATTAATCATAATATGAACTCTATAATTAAATATGTTTTATCCGTTTGCAGAGTAAAAGATGTTGTTGTTTTTGTTCTACTTCTTATAAAATACTCTTGTTCCAGCACGAGATGACTACCGAATGAAAGTTGAATTACAAGAAAAAGAAATGCTAGAGTTACAATCAAAACTGGATACATTACAACAAACAGCTGGCGAAGCTCGGTTGCTGAAAGATGAGGTTGACATTCTCAGAGAGACTGCGGACAAAGTGGAGAAATACGAAGCTACTATCCAATCTTACCAAAAGAAACTTGAAGAGCTCGGTGACCTTAAAAGAGAATGTAAAGTTTTAGAAAGCAAAAATGTAGAACTACTTGAACAAAATGTTGAACTGGAAAAGGTATTTGATACATTTTATTTAAGTGGTTTTTCTTGGGTGAGTGTTTGAAGTAATACTACCCCTAGCTACTTCGACCTGTTGATCTTTTGTACCACCCCTCTTCCCAGTCTGACAGCATTAGGCTTGTTGCTAGACCTAACAGCTGTGGGACCTCCAATTGTCTCATCTCTTCAGGCTCAAATCGCGGCCTTCCTAGAGATTTCAACCTTCTAAGGGCCAAGGCCGAACAGTCCAGCCCGTTTTTTGAGTAAATAAATAAATCTTTCAGAATCAGAATACTTTATTCTTGAACATAGAGTACAGAATAGGTGTCAAACATTACAGAGATTTAAATATAAAACAGCATAAAGTTGTTGGGCTTTGAGGCGCTGTTGGTAGTTATGGTTATTACTATGAGGGTTGTTTACTTCTCACTGGAACATCGGTGATGTTTTCCAGTTCATGAACTCTTCAACTGTATAGAATGGTCTCTCCACAAGCCAAGCCGATAAGCGTTGTCTGGTGCTGCTTATGCTGGGGCCTTTTATTGTCTCTGGAAGCAGGTTCAGGAACTTCACTCCCATGTAGGAAGGCTTTTCTTCAAAAAGAGTTAGATGATGGAACTGGAAGTGTGTAATTCATAGCCTGTCGGTTGTTATGGCTGTGCCTATCCGTACCTCCTTGGAGCAGTAGCCGGCTTGCATGAGTAGCCACAGCTAGGATGTACAGGCTTGTATTCGTTGGGATTTTTAGTTCATGGAATTTCGGTCTGTGACTTTCTCTCTTGTCAATATCTGCTAATATTCTTACTGCTTTTTTCTGGTGGATAAGCACACGTTGGAGGTTGGTTGCCGATGAGTTTCCCCATACTTCAAGGCCATATCGAAGATGTGATTCAAACAGTGAGTGGTAGGCAATCTTGGCTATGTTGGTGTCACTTATGGTTTTTTTTATCCTTCTTATCACGTAGACACTGCTAATCAGCTTACTAAACAGGCCGTCAATATGGGGGTCCATGTCAGTTTCTGGTCTATTATTAAACCTAAATACTTTGCTTCTTCTGGGCCTTCGTTGTCTGGGATCCTGCATACCCCACCATTTCTCCTGCCAAAGACCAGTTGTTGTGTTTTCTCTTCATTAACTACTAGGCTGTTGTTTTGGAAATACACTGCCTTTGTCACCAGACTCACAGACTGTAGACTGTTGCTCCATTATCACATTGTTTAGTTAATTTGTCAGAAATACAGTCTTTAGACTGAGATCTTCCAAATTTGTTTGTGAAGATAACGGCAACACCTGCAGACATATGTTTAGGATCTGCGAAATCAGCAGAGATTGTGTGGGCAAAACCCACCGAACGGTCATCTCTCATTTTGTTGATCATGATTTTCATGTTTGTTTCCACAATATTAATTTTCTTGTTGTCAAAATTTAGGGTAGACTTCTTTCTGCTGCTCCATTGGCTCTAACTATTTTTTTTAACTTTTCAGCCAGCTTGATTTTGCCCCTGTTGCTGAAGTTCAATCCGTGAGATGTAAATTAGTGTCAAGGAAAAAAATGAAGGGGCAGTAGGGAAACATTAGAGTGTAAAGCCACAATGTCTTCCAGGTCCTTATTAATTTTTCCAATTTCAAAGTCGAGTTCTGGTTTGTCATGTCTCCAAGGCAGGGAAGCAATCATTAAATTGGTATGATTAGATGTTTAAATTACACTTTTTACTTTATTTAGAAGATGTTCAGAGTTTTGGGATTGGGATTCAATGGCATTAGTTCCTCCGATGACCTAAAGATAATCCTCCTTTCCAAAGCCACTGATCTGCTCCCTGGCAAATTCCACCACATCACTGAACGTAGCGTTTGGTTTAACAAAAGGGCAAACATTGAAATTGGGTCTTTGTTCAATGAGGTGGCCTAAGTTTCTTCCATGGCTGTCTCCCAAAATAATGAGTTTTGACTTATTTGTTTGTAATTTATCAAGGTTTTGACTATTTTGTTGTTGTTTGCAGTTTGTGTTATCTTTTGACCTAAAAAAATTGCTTGATTGATTGGTTGCAGTATTTTCTTCGTCACTTTTTTGAAGGACAGCGAAAGAGTTCTTGTAGGCTTACTCAGTAGATGGAGTTTTTTTCTCTCCACTGAACCTTGCAGCATTTTTTGGTTTTTGCCAGTCATTATCATTGGTTTGCTGGTCGTTGTCTTCATCTTGGAAAACAGTTTAGACACTTCATATTGTATTTCTCTGCTTCTTGTGAATTTGTTTTATTTAGTTCAGTATTTTCATTTTGTAATACAACAACAAAAGCCTCTAATGATATAATTGAGTCTATCGTGTTTTTTGTTTCTTGCCTGTATACCTCACATTTCCTACAATTATTCCTTAAAACATTAATTTCTTTTAGCAACGATTCTTTGTCGCTTTGCATTAATTCAATCGTTGATTGAAAATTTTTATTCTCATTTTTCAGTTTACAATGTTTACATAGTTCTTTCTTTAGGATTTGGATGTGAAAATCATCCGGTTTATCTTGATGAGAGATTTTAATTTTATTTTTTAATGTAGTGTTCTGGGATGACAGATCTTTAACACATTTGCTGCTGAAAACATTTAAACAGGCGCTCGCCAATGGCGGCGAGGCCCGGGCGGAGCCCCGACGCGCTAACTGAATCAGCGATCGCTATTGGTATTGAAATATCTCAGTAAGGCGAATCACAAAAGAGCAGTGGTTTGTCATCTTCTTGTCTTTGTTCTGCGTTAATCCGAAAGTGGACGTAGTTCACTGAAACACCCAAAGGTAGCAGCGCTGCCTGGATCAATAACCAGAGTCTTTGTAATATGGCTCGAATAGAGAAAATCTCCGAAAACGGGACAAAAGCATTGCGAGACGGGATTTTACAGGCAATTTTGGTACCAATCTACACCAGAATAAAGCTTGCATTCTAAGCTACAGGCTGGTAAAGATTACAACTAGGGATGGTCAAGTCTCGAAATTTCGGGAAATTTTCGGGAAATTTTCAATCTCGTTACACGAGACGAGATTACTTTTTGGCCGAGATTTTTATCGAGACGAGAATTAAAAAAAAAAAAAAAAAAAAAAAAAAAAAAAATTAAAAACGCCTGCAGAAAGTCAATGCAATACCCGCAATACAGGAGCGTGTTGTAGTTGCGTTTCCTTTTCGAAGGCGTTCTTATTTAATTAATTCTTTTAATGTAAATATTACTTTCATTATTTTAATAATATTACTTTAATAACATTTGAGAAGTTTTGTTAAGTGTAAGCAGTGTGAGGAATGTTTTATTACTATAAAAAAAGTCAAAACAAGTAACTATTTTATAAAAATTAATATTGCTTTTATTTTATGATTTATTTTATTTTAGGATAAGTTGAACTCTATCCCAACTAATATCACCATGTTTCCTAATCGTAGGCATTTTTAATAAGTTAGGCGTGATTAATAAAAAAATGTTATGCTGATGTTATTTAATGAAAGATTGTAAATATTCTTGCCTATTATCATTATTTTAGTATTTAAACAGTCATCTAACAATGTTACAAAATCAGGTAAAAATTTCGAACGTGCATTTCCCGTTGTGTATGAGAAGAGAAATCTCGTCTCGATCTCGTCTCGAAATTTTATGAGAAATAAAAAATCTCGTCTCGTCTCGTCTCGAACTAAAAATCCAATCTCGTCCATCCCTAATTACAACGTTCCCCGACAATGGCTGAGCTCACATTGAAACAAGGTTGTTGCTATGCCAACATGACGGGTGCGCCCGCCAGACACCTGGCGTGCTAACTGCGCATGGCGGACCGGCCCGTCACTTGCCCTCAATGTGTTAATTTGTCTCATGTAGCTGTCGCTTTCGACCTTTGCTTGTTTAATGATGCTTTTAGTTTTCGTTCAGTTTCAAGTTTATTCTGAAAGGATGTTGCTCCAGAGTGTAGTTTTTGATTTACTTCTTTTAGGTGCCTTATAGCCTCCTCAGCCAGATTAAGTTTGTCTTCAAATTCTAGTTCCTTGTGGGATTTCTCCTATTTAATTTTGTAAATCTGCTGTTTATGTTGATTATTTTCTACTAACAAAGCATTGCCTAATTCAGCAGCCAGAGTCAATGATTAGATTCATTTGCATCAAAATTCTCCTCTTATGACAAGTCATGGATCTTTGATTTTAAGCTTTCAATTTGATTAACATTTTGATCTGATTTGCAGCTGTCACAGGACCAGGTTTTAATGTCATTCTCTTTGAGGTTTTTGAACTTTTTAAAACTCCATTCAAGGCATTTGGCATGGAACCAGCTTTTACAGGATCTGGTGCAGTGTATTCCTTGGAATCTAACTCCAATTTCTCAGATTTTACAGGGATATTTTGACACTTTCTTTATTCTGTTTAGACAGTTTTTTATTAAGTGTTTGGTTCCTCACTACGTCTGAAAAATTTTTAATGGACAGTTTTTTATTAAGTGTTTAGCTGGTTCACTACATCTGTAAATTTGAAAATGGACAGTTTTTTATTAAGTGTTTGGCTGGTTCACTACGTCTGTAAAATTGAAAATGGACAGTTTTTTATTAAGTGTTTCACTACGTCTGTAAAATTGAAAATGAACAGTTTTTTTAAATGAAATGAAATGAAATGAAACAATGCTTTATTTACATGATCTAAGTATAAGTTTTACAATACATTTCCATAGTATAACCAGTCCATGATTCACACAGCAGGCTCGCATTTTTCCAACTTGGTCTTATAAGACCATCAGCCGGGTTGGCAAACACATTGTAAATGCTAGATAAAACAAGTACAGTACATTTGTATACATTCAAATTACCTTTCTGATGTACCATTAGGCCTATTTCAATTAAAACAACATTTGTTAATTAATTTATTTTATGTTTTTTTTTTAATTCTATACATTTATACATATATTTGTAACTTATAAATTTCTTAAAACTAGAGAGTGTTCAGAGCTTGAAAAAGGCTAACAATTAAATTCTTGTATAATTTCCCACCTGTACCGCCAAGCTT